GTTGCAGGACAGAAGACATGGTCTCTCTTTGTCATTCCACAATGGGACAATCTTAGGATAAAGTAGACTCAGCTCAGGTCTGTCCCTATAGGGCCCATTCAAGTTCACGTGACCAACAGATTGTTTGTTCTTAGTATCCAAACTCAAAATATAATTAGGAGGTACCCTTAAATCCAAAGTAAGGAAGAAAAGCACTAATAAGATCTCAAGGCTAAGAAAGGAAAGTAATGTCCCTACAGAGTATGTCCTCCTCACTAAAATTAGAAAACTAAGAGCCAGCCAAATAGCTCAGTGGATTAAAGTGCCTACAAACAGGGGTTCAATCCCCCAGGCCTGCCAAACCAGGCTGCCCCCAGGGCACACTGAGATGGCAATTGAGACTGAGCACGGTGATGCGTGGCTATAATCCCAGCATTTGGGAGGCTGTAAACAGGAAAATCACTATGAGTCCAATCTAGCAGTGAGACCCTGAACACCCTAGAGACCCTTCCCTAAAATACAAGCAGGAGGAGGAGGAGGAAGAGAAGGAGGAGGGGGAGGAGGAGAAAGAGGAGGAGGAGAAGGAGGAGGAGGAAGAGAAGAAAACTGTAATAGTTAAAGGAAAATAAAAACAATTCCATATTCAGAAATGAAAATGAAATAAATCTAACTCAATACTCAACATTTTTGTAGTTTTATAGGGACCTAGCTTCCAGCACTACGCCTAGGACATAACAGATACTGGAGAAACACTCATTTTTATTTTCATAAACCATCTTTGTCCATTGAAATAGCTTTTTGTTTCTGCTATTTCAGAGATAACCTAATAATTCATAGAATTGTACTAATGATTTGAAACCACAAGACTCCCTCCTTCTTCAGGTGAGGCGTGGGACAGAAAAATGGAGTTAGCAAACTCATCCTCGGCCTTCCACTCCATCCCGGCTTCGGCACCTCAGTTGGTCACTGGGAAATGGTGACAGGAGAGTACACACACCTTTCCCGGCTTAGTTTATCTAAACATTTATGTTACAGTCAAACTTTTTGCTACAATCTGTATTCCTATGCAACAGGGATCCTGTTGAAGACAGGTCGAGTAAATGACAGTAGTATGCAATTATTTAATTATCTCATTACAAGTTTTTTCAAATGAAAATTTGTCAAGTTCTGGCTTATGTTAAACTATCTAATGGACAAATTAGGGTTGTCGATGGTCAGTGTATATATTCAAGGTACACAACGTGGTGAATTGATATGTGTACACACTATGTAAAGATTATCACCGTTAAATTAATTAAGCTATTTAGTGCCACTCTGGGACCCGGGGCTCATGCCTTATAACTCAACCCTTTGTACCCTTTGGCCACCATCTCCTTATTTTTCCCATCCCCTGCCCCTTAAGCAGGATCTTGGCCTCATAGTCTAAAATTATATATTGAATCTAACAGAAGATATTTAACGGAACCCTATTAAAATAAAGTTCAAAGTTATAGCGAAGCCTGAGAACATATTAAAACTGGAGGAGACCTGTTCAGTCACAAAGATGCCCTCGTGCATCATGCTTCTTCTCTGGCTGATTTTACCCTCCTCTTTCTTTATCTGATAACCAATATGGTATCTGGAACCCAAGAAGTCACTGGCCTTGAAACATAAAACTTAATTTTTGAGGTGCACTGAACTGAATTTCAAAACAAATAATTTTATGAAAGATTGAACCCAGGTCCTTCTCAACTAAGCTGCATCCTTAGCCTTTTAAAATTATTTTATTCAGACAGAGAGTCTCACTAAGGCACTAAAGTATCAAGGCGAGGCAGCCTCCCGGAGTGCTAGGGTTACAGGCATGTATGACCAGACTTAGCTAAAAGAACATTATTATTTTTCAGAGAATGACACTTCATTATGTATCAGATATGTGACTGTGTCATAAGCCTCTATGTTACCCCTGAATACAGAGTAAAGTTTCAACAGTAGACCAAATGATTTCAGGTTATGGAAAAAAGGAAGGGAAAAAAAAAGTCTACGAGGGATCAAGAAACCCTCTGTGAGAGAAGAGACAAAGTTTTAAAAAGTCAAATGGAGAAAACAGCAGATATAGGGCATGATCTTGGCAGGATTTCCCAGATTCCCAGATCCACAGAACGGTTACTGGAGCCTGGAGCACGTTATCAAGGAAAGGGACTGGGTAACAACAGCAGGAGAAGATAAAAAAGACTTTGTTCTGAAAGGATAAGTTGAAGGTTCTTATGACAGGTCTTCAGAGCCAGGCTGTGTGAAGTCTGGTGAAAAATGAAAATTAGACCTTTCACCAAAAAAGGTATTGTCTCCGATTACATTATCAGTACACAGCAGAACAGCCACCTGGGTAAACGAGTGCACGTACACTGTGCTCTCACCTAAGGTACGGGTTGCACATATTAATCAAATGGCACTATTCCGCCATCTGCTTTTCCATTACCTGTCCTACTTTGTGCCAATTTCCTTCCTCCTCCCCAACACCCTTTGCTTCACTGTTCTTCTTTAAAACATGGGATGGGGATTTGTCAAAGTCAATGAGCACTTTATTACAGTGAGAACGTTCTGTAATGAACAATTCAGCAATTTAATGAGATTCCGTAGATCTGTCTCCAGCCTGTCCATCAAGTTTCACTTCTATAAAGCACCCTGACACTAATCCTCTGGCATACCCAATCTTCACCCTGGGCTGAATATTAGATTCTTCCATGGTATATTGCATTACTAGTATAACCTCAGCAAAAATGATGAACTTAACTATACTTGAGGCAATATAGCTGGTCTGATTTGATTTTTCCCTATTGAGTTGAGTATGAGGGAATTACTTATTTACTAAGATAAAGCAAAAACAGTTTCTTATTGCCAGCTGAATGCCTAAATTGGTAATACTTATGTGAGTCTTTTAATTCTTTCTTGAGGATCATGTCTTTAAAAAAAGGCTATTGCCTGCAGTGGAAGCCAATTTTTTAAATTCTACATTATAACACGAGTAACCTTTAGAGGGGAAATTATGATAACTCTTGAGTAGATAATATAGAATTTCCTTGGCAGTGAGACACCTGCACCTTTCATGTGATTGCTGGCAATGCCTTCATCCTTATCATAGTAAAGAGAATAATGCCACATGGAGGGGTGGCCTCCAAACTCAATTCACTTAGAAAAAACTAAATGCAGAATCCACCCCAAATCTTTCTTGTTCTACTGGGAAGTCTACTTTCTACCTTGAACTGACATCAAAATAAACTCTGATAATTTATGTCATAAGGGGGAGGTGGATATCATTGAAATTCCTACCAAAATCACTTTATTGCCAGAATTTTCAACTTCTTCTTCAACACAGCCCCAGAAAAACTCAAGAAGATAAAATTATAACTTTAAAAACTTATAATAATTGGAATAGTTGAGAAATGGGCCAGATGCTCGCAGACATGGACCTGAAGGTGGGCTCTCTGCTGCAATTCTCAGCCAAGCACTGAAGCCTCATTTTGTTCATCTAGAAACTTGTGATGACAAGTCTTTGGGGGCCCTATTTGATAACAGGTTGCTACAGATTTAAGAAGCCTGGGCCTAGTAAGATCCTAAGTACAGTACAGGCCTTGTTATTCTCAAAAACAAAAAGGGAGGTTGCAGGTTGAAGGAGGAGAAAGAGAATGAGAAAAAAAGGAGTGGAGGAGAGAGGAGGAAATGGAAGGAAAGGTGAAAGGATCATCCCTTTCTACAGTCAGATGCTAGATAGTGACATGTATGGCTCAGCTGGGCCACAATCACAGTACTCTGTGAATATGTTGGCTATCAGAAATTTACTATCTCATCTGGCAAAAGAGTACTTGAAATTTTGCCTTGTATTCTACATACAGCTATTTTTCAAACAGTCATGAAATCCTGAATGCAGAGCACTGCAGGAGTAACAAAATGGTTAGGTAGTGCTTCAAACAGCAAGAACAGAGTGGTAGAGGAAGGAGGAAGGTGGGCTCTGACTGTTTCCTGAAGACATTAAGCACATTATTCAAGGATAGTCACTAGGGACAAGCAGAGGGGATCTAAATTGAATAATCAACTTCCAAACACAAAACATCCTCCTTTCTCCTAGACAAAGAGGTGACATATGTGAAAAGAATGTAATGTCAGACAAAAAGGCAGGCCTTAGGCAAACAGCAATGAATACAGAATGACTGAGGAGGGAGATTTTGTCCACCAAAATGCAAGAAGAGCATTTTTCACTTAAGGTCCAAGTTGGTCTCTTCTGCAATCATGAAATGCTTCTAAATTGTTTACAGTAAAACCCAGAATTTATTCTTTTTTTTTTTTTTTTTTTTTTTTTGGTGGAACCGGGGATTGAACTCAGGCCCTTGCGCTTGCCAGGGAAGTGCTTATTCTACTGAGCCATCTCCCCACATCCCCTCCCCAGAATTTATTGTGATTCCACTCAAACTGAATATGTGTAAGTATCTCTGTAAGATCCATTTTTTTCTCATATTGTTTAAGAAATAATTCTTTTTCTGAGGAAAGCAATCCCTTCACTTTTTTTTTTTTTTGTGTGTGTGTGTGTAGGGTCCCACTATGCAACTCCAACTCACCTCTTGTTTTTGGCCTCCCCAGCACTGGGATTACATGTGTGTGCCACCACACCCCAACTTAATGGCCAGCTCAGTGGGCCCAGGGGTGGGGCCATTGTGGCATGTGGTACTGAGGATCGAACCCTGGTCCCTGCACTTGCCTAAGCAGGCACTTAGTTCACTGAGCTATCTCACTGGTCCCCTTCACTTTTTCTGATAATGCCTGGTCAGCGCTTTGGGTGTGAGGAACAGCACTTGCTGTGTCCTGTGGTCAGTGGCACAGTGGGCTGAGGCCTTTTCAGCTAGTGTTTCAAGTCACTTACCCTTGAAGGGAGCAGGCCTTCTAAAACGCCAACCATGGATAAAATAATGCCACTGTTCCTTTGTCCTTTAGCATCTAGTCATGTCAGGCCTTCTTGGTGCCAATGGAGGACCTGGGCAGAGCCCCCTCACCTGCCAGATCTGCTCCTCACTCAGCGAGGTCAGCCGGTCGCTCTTCAGGACCTCCTGCAGCAGGCAATAGGGAAGTGTCAGAACATCTTCTGGGCGGCTCTTCAGGAGTTCAGAGAGATGCTTCACTAAGAAATCGACCACTGCCTTCTCCAACAAAGTGAGGTTAAAGAGGTCAGCCAGTCTGTACAGATCCAAGTAATTAAAGCTATTTAATTCCTGGATGAAAAAAAAAAAAGTGGGAAAATGAAAGATCTCTTAGAAATCCAAGAATGAACAGGGAACAAATTTAGATTGATTCGTTAAGGTTTGCACGATAGGGGTGGAAGAACATGACTGTTAATATTTAGCTTTACAAGAATGTCAGTGTTAAGTCCCTCAGCAGAACACTGCTACTATTCTAGAATTCATCAATTTTCCTCACTTTTCCCTCTTAAAATCCATAGATTTAAACATTGCTAAAAGAGCTGAAAGAGCGTTCTGATTTCACTGGCTGAAATGTCAGTTTTCAGCCTTTTAGAAATGTTTTACCAGTGAAGACAGCTGGTTTTTCTACCCCTGCCATATTCTACAGCTCTTTTTCCACTAAAGGTAATATAATGGGTAGGTAAACAGGAACTCATGAATAAATGACAAAGCTATGTGAAGGTAGACTAATTCATCTCTTTTTCTAAAGCTTCAGACTAAGTCTGGCTTTAAGTAAAGCAACCCATCCTGATTTAATGAAATCAAAACACAAATTTTCACATGTAAAGTTTCAGGAAATAAGGACTTTTTTTTTTTTTCAGTGGGGTACCGAGAATCAAACTCAGGACCTCACACCTACCAGGCGTGCTATAACACTGAACTATATCCCTGGAAATTTTACATAGAAGACTCCTGTCCCGAATATTTCTATACTAAATTTACCTAAAGCGGATGTTGTAAAATCATTTTTATTTATTTTTTGTTACCCTCACTTGCTCATACCACCAGTAGCATCCTCTCTTGCCTTTTCAAAGAATTTCTATAGCAGTAGCTCCATTTGGCTGGCTTTTCCCTGTCTCTCGAGTTCTCAAATCAATAGCCAGGGCTCTATAACATCAATAATAGTAACAAAAATGTTGCCTGTCTTCAGTAGAATGAGAACGGGTCATGTCCTAGTTTCACCTCATTTCTACCTTATAATTATTAAGATATAAGCAATATATCACAACAGCATAAGGAACGCAGGATGCCACAAGATTCTACTCTGTTGACCTATTTAAGTAAATTCAGGCTATTTTCCCTATTTTCTAGTTATCTAAGAGTACCCAGGGATGGACGAGGATAGGAAGGAGGATAGGGAGGAGAAAAGGATCAAGGTGTGATATGTGTTCATGAGATTTTAAACAAGTATGTTCTAAATCTGTGGTGCTTCACACGGCAGCTTCTAGCTATGGGTGGCTCCTGTCGATTTGAATTATGGCTACTCAAAACGAAATATGCTCTAAATACAACCTATGCATCAACTGAAAAGAATAGAAAAATAAAATTTTTAAAAATCTCACCGAGAGGTGATGCAGAGCAGATAGAAAAACCTCCAAGCTCTGCACAACAGAAGGTGGAGGGCAAGGAGCAAGGGGAAATATTTTCCTCCACCTGTCCTGCTGCCAAAAGGGCACATACAGTTACAAGAATGCAGTGAACTATATAGAGGTAATTAAATTTTATTGGGCTTCTTTGTGTCTTTATATGGACATATTTGGTCTCTTCCAATTAGAAACTTACAACTTGAAAGCAGTTCAGTGCCAAATTATAGAGAACTGCAACTATTTAAATGGGAGATTTACAATGCTTCTTTTGAAGACTGTTCTTCAAAACCATCCGAGTCTTTTCCATTTTCTCAGGATATCACTTTCATAAACCCATGTAAGTTGAGAACAGAGAAGCCTTAGTCACCGTGTGCCCATGGCTAGCTGAATAGCAATGAGCAAGGAACCGACCTTGTTTATGTTGAAAGAGACACCAGTTATAAGGTAAGAATGCTCTCACCCCATCCTTTTTCATTCTCCATCTTCCTCCTTAAAAGCACTGCGTTCCCCAAACTCTAGTTTTTTCTAGCTGTCAGAAGTCCCATTACCCCTGCTATGCATAGTCTGTACTTCAACAGTTAAGATGTACAAACTGGGGAGTGGAGGGGAAAAGAGCACCCCACGCCCAGGGCCCTGAGGCCACAGCACACGTTTCTCTATTGAGGCAGAAGGGCTCTGTGAGCTTCAAGCAAAATCATCATCCTTTTGTCCCTTCAGTTAAGGCCACACATGAACAAAATAAGCACTGATAAAGCTACTTTTAAGGATTTCCATTAATGTGATGGGAGTGAGAAGCAATGGCAAAATTGCAATAAATGCTCACTATATTGTGGGATGCGGGGGGAAAAAAAACCCTGATGTTTTGTTAAAGACTGCCATTATGTTTCCAGTTATAAAAAGTAAATGTTCATTTCATAAGATTCACGACATACAAAGTATGGAAAAGAAAACAAAAATCATTCATAATTTTAACATGCAGAGATAATCACTGCTAATGTTTTTGTATGTCTACTTCTAAACTTTAAAAGAAAGAAGTCTTTTTTTATGTCAAAGAAAGGAAGGATAATTGCGTTCCAGGCAGAACAAACCAGCAGTCACCCCAGGCGCTCAAAGGCAGCGCAGGCTGGGAGTGGAGAGCCAAACCAGGGAGTGGTGGGTGTGGTCAGGCCCAGCTCTGACACTCACTGTTGGCACACGTCTTGAACCACTAAACCTCATTTTTCTATACTTACAAAATGGAAAACTCAACCAACTCCTAAAGTCATCATGGGGCTACTAGGTGAAAAGAACTTACATAGCACTGTGTCACATGGAAGGTATCCTGCAGATTTCAGTGGAGGGAACAAGAACAGGAGTTTACTTGACCACTGCTTGCTATCCATAAACCATGACTCATCTCTGATGCAAGGAGACCAAAGTGAATGTGACCTCTCTAGATACCCAAGCCCTACACAAGGTGCTCCACTAAATCAGGGAGAAAAGATGGCCAAAGCAAAAAACATACCATTTAGGTACCAATTAGTTGCTGCTAATGCCTCCCCCATCTGTACTGTTAACTCCAGCCTTTCTTCCAAAGGCCTAATTATTTACCAACTGTCAGAGGGCATCGTTTGGGCATCCCCACAGCCACACTCAACTCCTGCGTCCAAAGTAAACCTAGGTTATGTAAATCTGCATTTCCTATGTCTTCTCTCTCTTGGTGGGAAAGACCACACCTAGCCACTCACATCTGAACTCCAAAGCCAGCCCATATTATTCTCTTGTACCCAGCCAGTTGTGCAGTCCTGTCTGTCCTCCCCACTTACCATTTATTTATTTCCTCTTCCCTCAGTAACTCTTGCCTAGACTCCCTGCTACGGTGTCATAAGTTACCATTCTTGCCTTCACTGCCATACTCTCAACACTCCCTCCCCCCCCCAACGTGTCTTAGAACTGATTATCTGTTTACTAATAGGTTCCTATGCGCTTACAAGACAAAGTCAAAATTCATGACACTTCATACCCTCCCATGAGGCTGTTGATCTCATCCCATGGTGCTACAACCTTGCCCTCTCTGGGTTGTCTCCAGCTAGGACAACCACCTACACATTCACATCAGGCGTTTGAATGATAGCAGCAACTGACAATACCTAGCAAACAAAAGAGGCAGCCACACCTTGTGATATGGTCAGTCTTCTAGAACAGAAAACCAAAATAACAATTTTTTTAAAAAAGTATAGAAAAACAAAAACAAAACTGAGGTGAGGATTACAAAAAGGTAGATACATGGGTCTGTGGGCACCCATAGTAGGGGGTTTGACCTAAATGAAAGTTACTAAAGGTTTAACTGAGAAGCTATATATAAATAAGCACAGAAGAGTAGATACTAATTGGGTAAAGGTCAGGGTGGATGTGTGTAACTATATTTTCTTACTTCTGTATTTCTGATGCTTTAGTACTTGAGATCTCACTGACCTGGGAGAGACTACTACTTGCAGGATGGTAATTCCTGGAAATAACAAGCAGCTTTCACAGGCACCACTGGCCGCTGGAAACAATATCCCCAATCATTTTCTCCGTCTGGCCTCTGCATTTTAGGAGACACTGTTCCTCTGTCTGTGTAATCCCAGGGCTAAAATCCAGAGATGAGAGAGAGCCTCTCTATGACAGAGCCCGCGGAAACTATTCAAACTAGCCATTCATAAGGCCGCTTGTCCTGCCTCCCCTGGTCCTTACTGGGGAAATGACAATAAAGGCTCTTGCTCATTTTCTCCTTGGCTCCCTGTGACTCCTGGCTAACAAGGGCTTTGACACGCACAGCCTGCACAATGTGGCACATCTCTCTTTCTGGGACCAGGAACAAACTATCCCTTAAACAGTCCTGCTCTTTGGCTTCATCATATCTGAATAACAGCCTACATTTTCCAACAAAATGAAAAAAAAAATTGGTGGTGACAAGGCAGGACTGTTCTGAACTGAAGGACTATATGAGCAAAATCCTATGAATGAGGAGCCCTGTTTCCACTGTTCTGCATGATCATCTTACCCAGCCTTCTCCCTTTCTCTGTCACCCGCTTCATTACTCCACTTTATCCGCTTTTAGCATGCATCACCCTCTATAATTATCTTCTACATTTGTATATTTGTTTATCAAGTCTGCCTTCCTGTAGCCCCCAGTTAGTTCTACAGAAGAAAGGATCTGCCTGCTTTGTTTACTGTAGTTATACGTATTCCAAAGGACGAGAGCAGTGCTGGGTACCTGGTAGCAGCTAAAGTCACACTTGCTCACTGAATGAACCCACTTCATCCTTTGATTCAGATCAAACTGACTTCTCCTTTATACATACACCTTGCCCTCTGCAGATTTCTAACAAGTACTTGCAGCACCCTCTAACTGTAAGTCCAGGTCTTCCTCCAAATCTAAGCTCCTTGGTAGCATGGATTATGAGTCCCGCTTCGTATGTCCCTGGAATCTAGAAAGGAACAGATGCACAATATACATGCGTTGATGAAAGAGTGTCCAGGAGATTTTTCTGTGTATTTGTCATTAAACAAGGCCAGAACTGTCTATGCCTTTTTCCAACATGTCCATTCAGGTTTTTTTTTGTGTGTGTGTGTGTGTGGAACTGGGGATTGAACTCAGGCCCTTGCACTTGCCAGGGAAGCGCTTATTCTACTGAGCCATCT